CAACGCCTCGACCTTCGGGACCACGATCCTGCCTCTGAACTCTAAGGCACCATCGGTGCCTAGCTGAAAATCCTGGACGCCTCCGGCGCGAACCTTGGCCTCCATAACACGAACAAACTCGTCAGAAGCCTGCTCTCGCCGGATTCTCTCTCTCAGTGTCGGCTGACGCTGCATGGCACTGACACTGGCACTGGTATTCCCCGAGACAGCTATGGGAAGTGCATCGATCACCTGAAGCTGCATCCGGGCAAACTCATGAATCAACGAACTCTGCTGCGTAATGACGTACGTCAAATCACCCTTCACTTTTCGGCTTAGGGCATCCGCGACGACGTTCGCCTTTTCCGGATGATACTAGATAGAGCAGTCGTAATCTTTGACAAGTTCGAGCCAACGGCGCTGCCTCATATTAAGCTCCTTCTGCGTGAAGATGTACTGTAGGCTCTTATGGTCTGTGAAAATCTCGCAGCGTCCGCCGTAAAGATAGTGTCTCCAGATCTTCAGAGCGTGAACGACTGCTGCTAGCTCCAAGTCGTGCGTAGGATAGTTCTGCTCATGAGGCTTAAGCTGACGTGAAGCATACGCAATGACCTGGCCGACCTCGGAAATACTAAAACTTGAATGTACAAGCTTAACTTAAAGCTTATACTTACTGATTACATAACTTGAAAATCCAGTAATTTAATACTGAATAAGAAACTTGATCTGAACTGAAGAGGCATCAATTCACAATTAAGTGAATTGTAGAATACTACAGACTGAGAATGGACACTTTTCTGAAAGAAAGTGTTCCACTGATAAGACATGATCTCAAAACGAAACTCTGAAATATGTTGGTCATCCTCTCCTGGCTGCTGGCGGATCTCCAATCGGAATGCTGGTGGTGAAGACTCCTGTTGTTGGTACACATGGAAGATTCCAGAGATTCACATATGCACAAATGAGGATAACTAGCTATATTGGTCCTTACCTTTCATGAATGTCTGCTCGACGACGCGGCACATCGTTCGCGGCACATTGTAATGCGGCACACCTGCTCCTCATCAAGTGAGTGCGGCACGCCTGCATACAACACCTGGCGAAAATTGCACCTGCGCCGTCGACGTAATCTGATCGTATACCTCAAGCTAGTAACCTCAATGTACGTTAATACTAACTCTCTGCAACCTTTCAGTGTACTGTGACTCGAGCATGGCATCCTTGGGGTGGAAAGCGTCGGTTTACCATCCTGGCACGATCCGTTGTTATCGATTGGCTCTTCTTCATCGCGGCGAATGTCAACCTGTGGTACCTGCAACTTTTT